ATGGTGACATTTCAGAGCACTTTAAGTTTTATCTTAAATACGTCATTGTCCTGCTGGTATTAGGTGCTGTGTTCATATATTTTATATTGGTTAAAACCCTGGCATTTGGGGAAAAAAAACTCTGTCACTTCACTACACTGGGTAAAAAATGGATAATGGGTAGTACATATAGATATAACCTCACACACTAATGCTCTTGGGGAAGGGAAGCAGCAATGTGACAGATTACATCAGTATGTCCCAATATATCTCTTCTCTATATTCCAAAAAGCCCATGGTCAACTCTATCATCCCCCAACTAAAAGGCAATTTTTATAGGAGAGAAGTTAGAGTGGCAAGACCCAGTTATCTTTAGAGATTGTGTAAGAGTAAGTTAACACATATTTGACAAAGACTGCAAAATCTTATGACCATGACAACACCATGGGAAGCTGTTACACTGGAAAGGGCCCACGTGAGTGAAGAGATCTTGGAACTTAAACTTAATTAGCATCATAGACAATCTACCTGGGRTTATTAACTTGTATTTCCTGATTTTTCCATGTTTTTTATTGGTGCATTATAATTATATATAATAGTGGGATTTGTTCTTATATATTCRTACATGCATATGATGTCGCAATATAATTTGATCARTATAATTCCCCAGTATTTTCCCCTTCATATTTCCTGAACTAATGAGGTTGAGCTCATTTTCATGTTGTCAYTGAGATTTTCTTCTTTAAATTACTTATTCATATCTCTTGTCTATTCTCCCATTGGTATTTGCCTTTTTTCTATTGATTTATAGAATTTTATATAATGTAGGTGCTATAAAAATGTCACAAACATATTGTAGATTCTGCACTGTCATTTACCCACATTTATAGCTTATCATAAAGAATCTGAAATTCTATAGTTAAATCTTAAGTATTTATTTAATGATTTTTCTTATTTAAGAAATAATTTCATATATAAATATATGGAAAGTTTAAAAAATTTTGCATACTAATCTATAACAGACTATATGAAGGTTACTTTTGTGTGTRGTAGGTGGTAGAGTTTGTTTCTTTTTTTAAAAATAGATTTCCAATTGTTTCAGGTTTCTGGGAATTATTTATCTATCCATTTATCTGTGGATCTGTTTCTGGGATTTGAATTTTGTATCTTTGGTTTTTGTGAATCTGATACTGGTATCATAGTGTTATAATTCTTGGTTTTTTAGCAAGTCTAAATTTCACTTAGAGCAATTTCTTTGTAGTTCTTCAATTTAAAAAAATTCTATCATTCAATCTTTTCTCTTACATATGAACTTTTTAATWTGTAGGTCAAATTCTGTCAGAATCTCTGTTAGAATTTTGATTGGATTTGTATTTAACTTATAGATAGGTTTCATGGGGATATACATAATTGAARTATTAAAGTATTAAATGTTCCCTCCACAGATATTTTTTAAAGAATACATTTTCAAAATATCCATTTGGAGGGGTGGGGGAAGAAGGAAAAGTGGTGAAGAAAGCCTTTATGGTATGCTACTGAGAGAGTAACATTCACAGTATGAGTTTATAGCAGAGGGAGAGAAAGTTTACYTAAAGAAATGATGTTTGAAAACTTCCCAAATCTGGAGAGAGATTGGATATCTACAAACATGAAGCTCTAAATCCAATCAGGTTCAACCCAAGGGAGACTTCACCAAGGCACATTGTAATGTGACTATTGAAAATCAAGCTGAGCATGGTGGCTTGGGTCTCTAGTCAGCTTCTTGAGAAGCTGAGACAGGAGGATCACTTCAGCCCAAAAGTTCAAGATCAGCCTGGGTTACGAGTGAGACCCCATTAAAAGCAAAACTCAGCCAACCATCTAATCAACCAATCCATGAAACAAATATGAAAACAAAAAATTTAAAGACCAAGAAATTAATTTGATAGCAGCAAGAGAATAGAAGCTTGTCACATACAAGGGAATTGTCATAACGCTCTCAGTAGATTTCTCAGAAACCTTGCAGGTCAGGAAAAGACGGATGATTTATTCAAAGTGATGAAAGAAAAGGAAATGTGCCAACCAAGTATAATTTACCCATCAAAGTTGTTCTTTAGAAATAAAAGAGAATAAGAACTTTCCCAGACATTAGACCTGCCTTACAAGAAATACTAARAGTAATTATTCAGGTTAAAACAAAAGGACACTAATTGGTAACATGAAAATAAATGAAAAGTATAAAATTCATCGGTAAAGATGTGCAAATAGTAAAATTCAAAATACTCTTAGTAAGGGCTGGGGCTGTAGCTCAGTGGTAGAGTGCTTGCCTCGCTAGCATAAGACCCTTGCTTTGATCTCCAGAACTACAAACAAAATAAAACAAAACAAGCCTCTGAGAATATAATGGTAGTGTAGAAATCACTGAACTCTAGTATCAAAGTTAATAAGTAAAGATATTAAGTTAATGGATGCATAATATTAAAAGATGTAAATTGTGAYATCAGAATCAAGTCAGTAGAAACCAAAGAGAAATAGCTATAGATATATCACAAAAAAATAAACTTTAAGTCAAAAATTGTGGAAGGATACATAAAGATCATTATTATTTCATTTTTTAGAATTTTTTTTCATATTTTTTATTTGTGCACATAGTTTTACATAATGGTGGGATTTAAATTTTTTGAAAACAAAAACAATAAATTAATAAATTAATAAATTAATCTGATAGCAGCAAGAGAATAGAAGCTTGACACWTACACATAATATAACAATATAATTTGGCCAACATCATTCCCCAGTATTTCCCATGCCTTCCCCTCTACTCCTGGTYCCATTCCTCTACTCTACTGAGCTCCCTTTGATTTTCATGAGCCTTGTCTTCCCTGACACCAGAAAGATCATAATATAATGAAAAAGAAGAGTTGAGGATAGAACTCAGTGGTAGAGTGCTTTCCTCCCATGCACAAGGCCCTGGGTTCCTTCCCCAGCATTGCAAAAAAAAAATGCCAAGAGAATATAACAATTTTAAATATACATGCATCAACCTTCACAGCATTTAAATATATGTAGCAAATAGTAATAAATCTAAATGAAGCCCGGCGCAGTGGTGCACGCCTGTAATCCCAGTGGTTCAGGAGGCTGAGACAGGCAATGGCAAGGTGCCTAGCAACTCAGTGTGACCCTGTCTCTAAATAAAATATAAAATAGGACTGGGGATGTGGCTGAGTGGTTGAGTGTCCCTGAGTTCAATCCCCAGTACCCCAAAACAGAAAACAGAATAAAACAAAAAAACTAAATTAAAAATAACAGTAATAATCCTCAGTATCTCATATTTGACATATGGATAGATTGTCTGGACATAAATCAATAAAGAAACAATAGACTTCAACTACATTTTAGATCAAATGAACATAACCATCATACACAAAACATTCCATCAAAAAGCAGCAGCATAATACACTTTTATCTCAGTCACACAAAACAATAGAAAAAAAMCCAGCAAAACCAAGATTGGCTTTTTARAAAGATAAACAAAATTGACAAATCATTTACTAGGGTAAGACAAAAGGAGAGAAGATYTAACTAAATAAGTGAGAAATGAGAAGAACACATTATAGCTGATATCACAGAAATACCATGGACAATAAAAGACTTCTATGAACAACTGTATACCACCAAATTAGATAATCCAGAAGAAATAGATAAATTCCTAGATACACAACAACTACCAAGAATGAATCATGAAAAAGTAGAAAATATGAGCAGGTCAATAATGAGTAAGGAGATTGAATCAGTAATAAGAACTATCAAAGATAAGCCCAGGACCTGATGGCTTCATGGGTGAATACTACCAAACATTTAAAGAAAAAACTAATATCAACTTTTCYAAACATTGAGAAAGAAGGAACAGCTTCAGACTCTAATGAGGCTAGCAATACCTGGATAGCAAAGCTAGAGAACACTACAATAAAAGAAAGTCACAGGTCAGCATCTCTTATCTATACAAATTAAAAATACCTTGGCAAAATACTGGTAAACTGATTTCAACAGAACATTAAAAGGATCATTCACCATGATTAAGTGTGATTTATCCCTGGTGTTTTGGTTTGGATCTAAAATGTCCCCCAAAAGCTTATGTGTTGAAGGCTTAGTTTCCAAGGCACTAATGTTCAGAGATGGGGACTTTGGAAGGTGATTGGATCATGAGGATCATTGGATCACCTCATCAATGGAGTAATCTGCTGCTGGGTTCATAGTTTAATGTGCTATTGGGAAGCSGGAGAATCTTATGAGGTGAGGACTACCAGGAGGAAATGGGTCCTTGTGAGTGTGCTCTTGTGACTCTCCCTTAGTTACTGAATGTCATGAGGTGAGTAGCTGGTCTGTCATGCTCTCTCCACCATGATGTTCTGCCTCACAGGCCCAGAAACAATACAGCCAAGTGACTCTGGACTAAAACCTCTGAAACTATGACCCAGATAAATCTTCACTCCTTTAAGTTTTCTCTTGCATTTTGTTACAGCAATGGAAAGCTGACTAACATACCTGGGATAGTTCAACAAACACAAATCAAGAAATGTGTTACATTACCTTAATACAATGAAAGACAAAAGCCATCTGATTATTTCAATATATACAGAAAAAGCATTTGACAAACTTTAGCATCTTTTCATGATTAAAAAAAAACACTCATAAATTTAGGTATAGAGGGAATGTACCATGTACCTCACTGCAATAAAGCCATATATCACTAACCTCTAGTTTCTAGCTAATATCATACTCAACAGTAAAAAATTGAAAGTCCATTCTCACCACTATTTTTCAACATAGTACTGAAAATCCTAGCACAAGCAATTAGGCAAGAGGAAATAAAAGATTGGAAAATAAAAAGATTGGAAACGAAGAAATAGAATTGTCCCTGTTTCAGATGGCATGATCTTATACATAGAAAACCCTAAAGACAGCAATGAAAAACTATTAGATCTCATAAACAAATTCAGTAAAGTTGCAGGATACTAAATCACATACAAAAATCAGTTGTGGTGCTTGGTCAGCACATATACTAAAATTGGAACAATACAGAGAAGATATTAGCATGGCATCTGCACAAGGATAACTCACAAATTCRTAAAGCATTTCATATTTTTTATGTATACACRATGGAATATTACTCAGCATTAAAAGAAAATAAAATTATGGCATTTGCAGATAAATGGATGGAGTTGGAGAATATCATGCTAAGCAAAGTAAGATAATCCCCAAAAATCAAAGGCCAAATGTTCTCTCTGTGGATGCTGATCCTTTATGGGATGGAGTATGGGAAAAATGAAGGACCTTTGATTGGGCAAAGGGGAGGGAGGTATGGTGGGGTTATGGGGGTAGGAAAGATGGTAGAATGAAATGGACATCATTACCCTAGGTAYATGTATGACTGCACATATGTTGTGATTCTACATCATGTACAATCAGAGAAATGAAAAGTTGTGCTGCAGTTGTGAATAATGAATCAAAATTTATTCTGCTGTCATATATATCTAATTAAAATTAATTAATTTATTAATTTAAAAAATGAGGTGTGTTTCTATGTTAGTTGATATTTTTCAAAAAAATAGAAAAAATGCTTAAATTCATATGGACTTCAAAATATTCCAAATACCTTGAGCAAAAAGACTAAAGATGGAGCCATCCTATTTCCCTGATTTCTAATTATATTATAAAGGTATAGTAATTAACAGCATGAAACTGGTATAAAAGTACAGCTAGATCAGTGGAACAGAGTAGAAAGCCCAGAAATAATCCACACATATAGAGTCAACTAATTTCTGCCAACATTGTGAGAAATACACATGGGGAAAGGAGAATTTATTCATTAAATTATGTTCTGAAAAAATATATATCCACATGCAAAAAATTTATATTTCATCTTTATCTAACATTATACACAAAAATCAACAATTAAAGATTAAAACATAAGACTTGGAGCCACAAAACTAGAAGAAAACATTGGGGAAAATCCCATGACTTTGGCCTCAGCAATGATTTTTTTGAATAAGACATCAAAAGCACAGATGCAACAAAAGCAAAAGTAAACAATTGGGACTACAATTAACTAAAAATCTTCTGAGCTAAGGAGACAAGTGAAATGAAAAGGCAAACCAAGGAATGAGAGAAATATTTGCAAGCCATATATATGAACAGGAATTAATATTTAAGATACTTACAGAATTCATACTACTCAATAGCAAAATAATAATAATTACAATCATTATAATAACTTTGTAAAAAATGGGCAGAAGCCCTACATAGAGGTTTCTTCAAGGCATACATACAGATGGCCAATAGATAAATGAAATGTGTTCAGCATTAATAATCATTAGGAAAATGCAAGACCACAATGACATCTCAACTCACACCTGACAAAATGGCCGTTATTAAAATGTCAAAAKATAAGAAGTGGGGCTGGGGATATAGCTCAGTGGTGCAGTAATTGCTAGCATGCACAAGACCTTGGATTCAATCCCCAGCCCTTCCCGATCCCCACACAAAGATAAGAAAAGGGAACCCTGATACATTATTGCTGGGAATGTAAATTTGAATAGCCACTGTGGGGGTTCCTCAGAAAGTTCAAAATAATAGAACCACGCATGATCCAGCACTCCCACCTCTTGGTTTATATCCAAAGGAAAAAAAACCCCACTATCGCAAAAGGTATATACCTCCCAGCATTAATAACAATAGCCAAAACATGGAAGCAATATAATGTTCATCGGTAGATAAAGAAAATATTTATGTATAATTCAGCCTTAGAGGAAACATTCCTGCAGTTTACAAAAATCATTGATGAACCTGAAGATCATTATGGTAAGTGAAAAAAGTCAGGCACAGAAAGACAAATACTCTATGATCATACCTATATGTGAAAACTAAAAATCTGGAGCTAATAGAAACATAGTAGAATGGTGGTTAGGGGGAGAGGAGTATGGGGTGATCTTAGATATTGGTCAGAGGGTACAAACTTTCATATATAAGATGAATAAGTACTAAGGATATAATGTACAGTTTTGTAGCTATAAATAATGATAATAATAATAATGTATTATATACTTGTTTGAGAGTAAATCTTATTTATCTGCACCACATTAAATAAAGATTAATATGTGAAGTGATGGATATGTTAATTAGTTTGATTGCAATAATCATTTCACAAAGTTTAATATATATATATATCAAAACATTACATTATACACCTTAATGTATACAATTTTCWTTTTTCAATTTTACCTCAATAAAGGTAAGAGAAAAAGAAAACAGTTTAAAAATGTTTTGCTACAGTTTTCTAATTATATCTATGTGTTTTAATTGTAGGTACCTGGTAGTGTTCACTGCTAATTCTAGAAATTGCTTTTCATTATTTTGATATATCAGAAAGATAAACACTTTAGTAAGATTTTTTCCCCCTAATTCATAGTTAGATCCTAGAATCTTGGCAGCCTTCCTTCCCAGGTCCCATAATCCTCGTGGGTTCTCTCTGGGTTCCTAGAGTTCCATAAAACACAATTTGACATCTGATATAGAAATAGTAGTTTTTTTTACAGAGGACTTTCTAGTGTCTTGCTCTTTGTTATGTGGAAACAGTAGAATAATAATCGAACCAAAGAACATATGTTAGACCAAGATGTTCCCCACCATACAGATTATACTTAATATTGGTGGATCCCTAACATATTTCTATGGTTTGGATATGGTTTGTCTCCCACAGTTTCATGATCTGGAAGCTTGGTCCTTAGTTTGGTGGTGTTAAGGTGGTAGAACTTTTAAGAGAAAAGTCTAGTGGAAGGTGATTAAGTCATGGGCTCCATCCTCATAAATGAATTAATGCTGGTCTGATGGAGTGGGTTGGGTCTTAAAGGAATGAACTAGTTCTTRTAAGAGTGAACTGTTATCAAACAAGGCTACCCCCCTGTTTGCCCCTTCTCTTTTGTGATGATGCTTTTCTGCTTCTCTGCTATTTGCAGAGCAGCCAGGAAACCCTTATCAGGACACTGGTGCCTTGCTACTTGGACCCTCCAGTCATCAAAATCATAAACAAAATAAACCTCTTTGCTCYTATAGTTTATCCAGCCCCAGGCATTTTGCTATAGTAGCATAAATATATACACAATATTATTATTAKTAGTAAGACACATATACTGACATTTTTCTCATGCTTCTGTTCTGTTAATCCTTCCAGTGGATTTTCCACCTTTGYATTATTTCACCCATTTTACGGGTGATTGAACTGAGTGCTTGAGAAATTAAATTAATTGTATGCAGTAAATGTCTAGCCTGCTCGAGATTATTTCTCTGATTGAGATTTTTAGATATCCCTGCCCACCCAGAAATCCATAAGCTGAAAAAAATCTCAATTCAATAGTAAAATTCTAAGTAGTATATCAGATAACTCAGGTACTTAGCAGGTATATCCTTGATAGAGGACTGTAAAACTTTTGAGTTGAAATTCTGAGTTTCTGAGAAACCAGCAGAGTAGTGCAAGAAAAGGTCTCAATGATTTAGAGTCCCCCCCCCCCCGATTTGAAGGAAAGTATGTTGAGTGTGCAGAAGAAGATAACTCTAACTTACCCTTAATGAATGACCTGAGGTGGCAGAGCATGACCAAATTTGAAAATTGCTTTCCAGTTGTTCATCTAAGTCAGAAAATTCAAAAAGTTTTCCATCCTAGCTATCCATATGAAATGTAAAATATCCATGTTTTCCTTTAACTTCTAATAATAATTTAAGAATATTTAGGAGACTATGAAGGAAAATATGGAGATTTGGTTATTTAGTGCAAGGAGATAGCTAGTGTGGGAAGCTTTTTTGTCATTTGCTTTGCTCTTCTCTGAAATCAAGGGGTCTGGGATACAAAAACTGGGGGACTATGTGGTTCACAAGATCAGAACTTTAAATTCCAGGGAGAAAAAGAATTGATTTGCTCTTAAAAAATGCAGCTTCATCAGATTCAACAGGCCCAAATGTGTTTACTGAAGAAGAAGAATATGTAGCTCTTGATTATTTTCTAGTGTTCAACTGCTTTGAACCGAATGGAGTCACTGAGTTTTAAGTATTCCAGAGGTATCTAGAGAAAGCCAAGTTAACTACTTTTAGGAGAATTAAAATATTTTGATGAGCACATCATGCTTTTACATTTTTGAGATTTGGGAGTAAAGCCTCAGAATGTGCCCGAAGTCTGAGCCGTCTACTCCCTAGACAGGGCCTTGCTGGAAAAACTCTGCCTCCTGAGCCTCCAGTCGTGGAACTAAGAGGAACAAAGGAACAAAGCCAAGAACTCACAAATGTGGGCTTGGCTTTGTGGGCAGTGTCAGGGCAGCAGCCCAAGAGTGTAGTCAGGAAGTTCTCTTTCATGGACTGCAAACACTGCTGGACAGCCACCATTGAGCATGGGTTAGCCAGCCCCATATATTTTATTCTTTATGTAAAATAATGTTTTCAKTAGCTGGATCAGTATTGATATCAGCAATTGGCAAAAATCAATTAGAATACTTTTTAAATTTTTCTTGTATCTTAATAAATTATGTACACACCAAAACAAAGAAATAATCTAACTTAAGGCAGCTCTTGTATATGGAAATCCATCATGTTGCTGACTATTGATAGAATTCACCTCCCACATGTGTCTTTTCTACACACATGGATAAGGTCTCACTGAAACTCGTATTCTTGATAATTCATAGCTCCATGAGCTATGCCCCATGTATTTCTTTCTGATATTCCTCAAAACACCCAGTCAATATACTATCATCTTTATGGTTTGGATGTGAGGTGTCCCCCAAAAGCTCATGTGTGAGAYAGTGCAAGAAGGTTTAGGGGAGAAATGATTGAGTTATAAGAATCTTAACCCAATTAGTGAATTAATCCCATGATGAGATTAACTGAGTGGTAACTGAAGGCTGGCAGGGTGTGGCTGGAGGAGGTGGGCATTGGGCTCCTACCTTTGGAGTATATATTTCTTATCTGGTGAATGGAGTCTCTCTCTGCTTCTTGATCATCATGAGAGCCACTTCCCTCTGCCACAGTCTCCCACCCCCATGTTCTGCCTCACCTCAAGGCCTGAGTARTGGAGCCTGCTATTTATGGATTGAGACATCTG